ATGAGGCAAGAGACCTTCCCTATTGTCCTTCCCCCGTCCCCATGACAACTATTTCCAGACTTCTGTACCTGCCACCCACAAACCTCAGTCTCTACCCTCTTCCCTCTTCCCCACTCCTTTCAAACATAGCCAAATTATTAGAAAAACCTGGACCTTAATAGCAAAATTGCAAAGGAAAAGAAAAGAGCAAGGCACATTTGGAAAACAACCTATTCATTTATTCTGGATCATAATTAGCAGTAGCTCAAAGAATTTACATGCCCTTTGAAGGCAAAAAAGTTTATTCAGAATTCGCTTATAGAAATGGCTCCTTCCTTGGAGTTGTGCTGTTTTAGCTAGATGGCACTGCTTTACCGTAATGAGGAACATGAGCCTGTGGACATTCCTTTAAATCCATTGCCCTTTGGAATAGGAACTGTATATTGTGTTTACAGGGTGAGAAGCTTCCATTCATATGCGAGAGCACATTCAAGCCTCTTCGCCATCAGAAGATGATCCCACAGCAGTTACCAGGACCATGTGTGACAGGAACAGCGGCCAGCTCAAAAACTGCATGTCAGATTTCCCAGAAAGGAAGTTCTAGATTGAAGAGATTTATGCATGTTCCTGGGAATACTGGTAGGCAATGCCCACAAGAAATGTTCCCCAGGCTTTTCACAGGAACAATGTGCCACTCCTGAGACTTAAAGGAAAGCAACCTTGCAAACATGGGGTCTTCTCCTTTGCTCATATAAAAACAAAAGGACTAGGCTATTAGGGAAATGAAAACTTGGGTAACTTGGGAAGCAGAACTGGAGAAGATGTCCTATTGTTTGAGGCTAAAGTACAAAACTCTTAAGGTGAGAGGTGTTGGACATTACTTGTATGAAGGAAAATCTGCAACAGAAATACAATCTATGGTAATTCTCAAAGAACTGCAGGCTAAGGCTCACAAATAGTTAGGCTATCTCTGCACTCCTTCCCCCAATGCTGTACAAGTTTTGATAAAGAGAATTCATGTTCCAGGAATACCCAGAATAGTCTGGCTTTCTTCATGTGAACACTTCGAGAGTTACACATTTCGTTTCTTGCTGGAGATGAGTGAAAAAAGCGGACTTAGAATTCCTTTTCCAAGAGATGTCAGGTAGCCAACATACTAGATCTTTTGTAGAAAACAGCTAAGTCCTGACTATACTCTGCCAAGCTTAGCAAAGCCAGCTTGTTCTTTAGCGTTAAGTTGTTACAAGAGAAAATGACTGCATGGAATCAGAACATGGGCTCCCTGGCATGAGGCCATTTTGAGGGGGACAATACATAGCTACAAAGCGATTACATCTATTTTTAGGCATTGTGCAGCATGTTACAGTGGCAAACAATAGAAAAGAAACTAAGGGGGCAAACAGGAGTGAAAATAGACCGTCGCTTGCTGTAAAATTCTCTCCTACAACTTGGTCTCAGTTTGTGAGATTTGTAAGTGAATGTGTGTATACATTCCATTTACTTGTTGCTCTGAATATAGAAGTGTAATGGCAGGAAGGCAATAAGAGGATCTAGCTGATTTGGTGTGTTACACCAAGTATTTTAATGTGGCCACATGAAATGTTGGCAATCCTGACCTCACTGAGAACTGGGGCTGCCAGTGCTTTATGAGGCCTCATGAAAATCCCTGAGTCCTCCCAGATAGCCATCCGTTGCAGGGGTCTCCATCACTTTCCTCCACACCTGTCAATAAAAGGTGGATTCAAGATCCGACAGGCTGCCTGCCACTCACAGCTGAATTCATAGGAACACAGGAAGCTGCCTTGTACTGAGCCCATGAGTTCATTTAATTCAGTATTGTCTACACTGAGTGGCTGCTGCTCTCCTGGCTTCAGGAAAGAGCTTCTGCTGGTGGGACACCAGGGACCAAACTCAGAACCTTTTGCATTGAAACATGTACACTGTCACTGAGCTACAGCACTTTTCCAGTTCCTCACCTGCCTTCCTCTCTCACCTGTTTCCTGACCCTTTCTTGCTTCTTTGGTTGGGAAGGAGCTCCAAATTCTAGAGGAACTCCAGGAAGGGAAAGTACCCCTCAACTGCTACTTGTAGCATTTATTATTGATTGCACCTCATTCTGTCTCTAAAGAGCTTAGGGTAGCACACACAAGGTATTTCCTGACCCAGCAAAACTGAGTTCCCAAAGTATGAAGGAAACAAACATTAAAAAACCCTTTGTGGACGATCAATTGCAGCATACTATTGTGTGTGAAAGGACGCGGGTGGCGCTGTGGGTAAAACCTCAGCACCTAGCGCTTGCCGATCACATGGTCGGCGGTTCGAATCCCCGCGGCGGGGTGAGCTCCCGTCTTTCGGTCCCAGCTCCTGCCCACCTAGCAGTTCAAAAGCACTCCTAAGTGCAAGTAGATAAATAGGTACCGCTTTATAGCGGGAAGGTAAACGGTGTTTCCGTGTGCTGCGCTGGTGCTGGCTCGCCAGAGCAGCTTCGTCACGCTGGCCACGTGACCCGGAAGTGTCTCTGGACAGCGCTGGCCCTCGGCCTCTTAAGTGAGATGGGCACACAACCCTAGAGTCGGACACGACTGGCCCGTATGGGCAGGGGTACCTTTACCTTACCTTATTGTGTGTGAACCACAACCTACTTCATCAGATGCATAAATTGCTATCCTCAGTTATCGGATGAGTGCATGCATGTGAGAATAGCTATATGACCAAATGAATTAACATATCCTTAGTAATAAAATTGCCATTCAAGTGTAGCATCTTGCCCTGTGGATTGGCTCCCCACACAAATTTCTCCCAGTGCAACAACATGTCACCACCAACTAAGGAATCTTTTGCAGTGGTGCGGAGACTGTCAGTTTGCATATCATAGTACAGAAAGTATTGATCTGATGTGTAGAGATCTTTCCTATTCTAATTAATCTAAGAAGATTCTGGAAGCTTGTCTGTGTGAAAGAAACAAGCAGAAGGTTCATGATGTTTGGGTTATTCCTTCAGAGAAACTGAGTACAGCTGGTTCTGTTATCTTTTTCTGTCAAGGTCTTGCTGACTATAACGGTAAGGCCAGAAGCACCTGGGTTTCACTCTCTGTCTCTCTTTCCATCCGGTGTAGTGTTCTGTATCTTAACACCTTAGTGTTAAGGTTTTAGTCTTATTATAAGTTATTGCAAGTTTAAGTTAAGTCTGCTGCAACTGGATTTCTTATGGGCAGTGCCAATCCTGAATGTATTGGATTTGTGACCGTTATGCTCATTTGTCTTCAGTAGCAGTAAAACTCTGTTTTATGAAATATAATTGCCTCTGGTCTTTTTTTTGAGGGGGGGGATTCTAAGTTTTTACTCTGCTAACTGCTCTCTGCTCTGCATCAATATGAGTAGAGTTCATGACACAGACTAGGGTGACCATGTGTCCTACTTAACAGAGGACAGTCCTCTGTTTGAAGGGCTGTCTGGTTTAAAGGTAAAGAACTGTAAGGAGGGAGAGTTGTGGAGGGAAAATGGTGGCTTGATGTTTTCCATCAATTTAGCAGCAACCTCGACAGCAGACTCAGCAGGCCCACAGATCACCTCATCATCTCACTCTTCTCCACTATGGCGAGATGCACCGTACTTCCATTTAAACAATGATTTAAAATTATTTCCAATTCTGCATCTACACATATAAATTTAGCATATGCAGACTTTATGCAAACCACTGCCCTCTTTTGCATTCTTTTTCGTTGAAGCATAAGCGCCCATCCTTGAGGAGAGAAGCCCTGGGACTGTGGCTAAGGTCTCTGCCCCTTAACCATGATCTGCAGCCCAGGTTTGTCCTATGTTTACAGATCATGCTTAAGGGGAAGAGATCTGAACGATGATCCCAGCTTTGAACAACATGCTGAGCCAAACCTTTGGCACACTGTGCTAAAAGGACCAGGGAGGAGCAGAACTTCTGCGAACTCCTCTCTGGGAGTGAGCATGTTTGCACGGTCCCAATAAGCCATAGCTTGATTTATCACGAGGTGCTTACCAGGCCGGTATTTGTATGAAAGTGGGCTGAAGCGGCTCATGAGCCTTAGAACCAATTATTTGTGTTGCCCACTGAATAAATAAATATACAAATCATGCTCCTGTCAAATAAATGCAACCTCACAGCTTTGCAATGTGCTCAATAACACACATTCCTCACCGGTATAAAGTTTACGGCATGTAATGCCTTAAGAGAAAACATTATGAAAATGATTTATAGGTGGTACATGACCCCAGTCAAGCTCGCAAAAATTTACCATTTGCCCAATAATAAATGCTGGAAATGCAATGAGACTGAAGGTACCTTCTATCACCTTTGGTGGACTTGCCCGAGGATTAAGGCCTTTTGGGAAATGATCTATAATGAAATTAAGAAGGTCCTTAAATGTACCTTTCATAAGAAACCAGAGGCTTTTCTCCTGGGCATGGTTGGCCAATTGGTGTCAAGGAAGGATAGGACGTTTTTTATGTATGCTACCACAGCAGCAAGGATTCTCTTAGCAAAGTATTGGAAGACACAAGAACTACCCACGCATGGAAGAATGGCAGACGAAGGTGATTGACTATATGGGACTGGCGGAGATGACTGGCAGAATCCGTGACCAAGGAAAAGATACGGTGGAAGAAGATTGGAAGAAATTTAAAATATATCTTAAGAACTGTTGTAAAATTAATGAGTGCTAAAATGTCAAGGGAATGGGAATTATAGAATTACAGCTGTAACCGACTAAGTAAGAGAAGAAGGTTAAAAAGAAAATGAGCAATTAGCTAACTGGGGGGTTGCTGAAGAAACATTAAAACAGGGATGCAGAAAAGGGGAGGCATGGGGAAGTCCGGGAAGTAAGGTTTATGAAAAAGAGGTTGTGAAATTATACATGTTTATATGTTTGTTTGTTTACGTATTGTGTATTGTTTGTTTTTATTTTGTGTTGGAAAATCAATAAAGATTTATATATAAAAAAAACAAACACACATTCCTAAGAGAAAATGCAGGTTTAGAATGAGACTCACAGTTCTGATGACTTTTGGTCATATTCTCAGAGTCCAGTGCATGGTAGAATTCATAGGCAGACCGGCCCAGAAGCTCCTCAGGATGGTATCCAACTAATTCAGTGATCCTTCATGAAACAAACAAACAAACAAACAAACAAACAAACAAACAAACATGTTCATTAGATATTTGGTTTCGAACATTTTTCATTTAGTAGTGTGCCTTCCCAAATTAAAGAAAATCTGAGCCTTTTTTATTGGTATTGCCCTGAAGAAGTGTACTTCAGCTTCACTGGGACAAATAAACCTTCTTTCACGCACCTTTGTGATTTCATCTTTCTCTCCCTTTTACGCCCTGATTTAGCACAGGATAGCTTCTTACATTCCTACTGAGTGGTGCATTTGGCTGCGACAAGATAGCTCTAAAAGTAGTCGTTTTGGCAATTGCTGCTCTAAAACATAACATTAAGAACATATCAGAGCAGCATCCTCTGCTGTAGAGTTTTCTCTCACTGCATCAGAGGCAAATCCACAAGTGTGGACATATCTAGTTGGGATTTCTACCTGGGCTGAGCATCTTTTTAAATACCTGCTCCACACATCCCCTCCACTTTCTGTTTTGCTGGATTTGCAGGTGCTTCTACATTTGTCTAAGCATATTTGTCCAAGGTTTTAATGTAACTACCTCTACTAGAGTACACAGTTTCAGTTAAGTCCCTGTTAACTATTGCACTAAAATAAACAAACATGCATACTGATTGCCAGATGACTGCAGCATCAAGTGCTGACCTGTGTGTGTGAATGGGCCATCACCATACACCACAAGACGTAACTTTTATGCCTTCCCCATAGATCCAGATATCAGATTTTGAATAATACAAACACATGCAGGCATAAAATGGCCAAAATTCTACTACACGTTTTGTATAAGATAGATGCTTCTCAGTAGAGTTTAATAATCATTTGTCAATATTTACAAGCTGAGCTTAGCAGCAGGAACACAAAATGCCCGAAGCGCCAGAGCAGTGCCACACAATGACGACAACAGTGTGTAGCTTTGTATTTGATCAGCAAATGATATTTCCAATTCCAAGCAGCTCTTTGCTAGCAAATCAGGCCTTAAGATCCAGAGTGAAGGAGAGGCTGGTCTCCGGTCACAGGTGAGGAATCAGGAATCCTTGTTTAGAGAGCTAACCTGCTGAGGTTAGCCCTGGTACCATTTGACACCTGCATCATTCTAAACCATGGTTAGATTTAACCAGAGTTTGCAAACTTTGGCAAGCCTGCTATGCTGGCATTTTGTGCAAACATAATGAAACAGCAGAATGAGCTTGAAAAAGATAAGGAAGAGAGGAATTTGCAAACAAGGGTGGAAGGAACACATAGTTCACAGAACGGTTGTCACTTTTTAACCATGGTAAAGGCACCAGGAAATGTTGTGTCTCTACTGTGCTATCTGCAACCCATGATTCTGATTTCTGTTGATAGAGCAGATTGGAATGGAATGGAGAGGGACCCAATTAACTTTTGACTCTTGCTCCTCTTTGGACTTCCATCGTTTCTTTAGTTTTGACTCTCTAAATTGGAATTTATAGTTAGGGGTTAGCTCATTGCTTTTGGTATTTCCGTTACTAAAGCGGCTATTAAACAAACAAATGCTAGGCAATACGTTAAATGATGGCTTTCCCCCAGCTGCTGTACTTATGCAATAATGTTTCGTAGCATAAATTCGGCAAATATTTTCACACAGTGACTCCATTCCTTGTGTCACCAATGTACAAACAAGTACCAGGTTACAAATAAATGCCACTGTGAGGATTTGGCTTCAAAAACTTCAGTTGTGTACAGAAGTAATTAGAGAAAAGACCCTATTGTAGCATGTATACTGTATCAGAATGATTGATGTACATTACTATTAAAATTCAAAAAAAAACCTTTTGCTCCTCCTCCACTTTTCAGGATGTCCTTGCTATATTTTGTACAGTTTTTGTTGTTGTTTCAATTTCACATTTTGTATAGTTTTGATCCTATCTAAGTCAAGAGTCCATACCATAGCTATCTGTAGAACGAAACTGGAGGACGTATTTAAGAACAACGGCAGAATGAAAAGGCTACACCATGCCCCCACCTTCTGAACTACTTTGCTCCCAGTTGACGTTAACCTTACAAAGCCAGGAAATACAACCTCAGAACAAGCACATAGCCTCGTCTGCCTGCAAGCACGTAATTGCCATTATCACTAATGATGGTAACACTGTATTCTCACAAGGATCCTGACTTCTGCGAAGGCTCTTCTACCCCACACACATTTTACGGAGGGTGTTGTTGTTTTATTAAAGGACACGGAGCACGCTGGAACTTGCGTCAGCAAAAAGAAAAAGAAATCAGGCTCCCATCTGTCAGAAGAGCCCCTAAATGCGTTGTAATGCATTACATTATCTGAGAGCACATCTCGGGGGTTAACATCTGTGATGATGGAAGACCGAAGCAGAACACAGATCTCCTTCCCCAGCTTAAACTAGGAGGGCAGCACCATAGCTCAATGGTGGAGAATAAGCTTTGCATGTAGAACTTCCTAGGTCCAATCCTTGGGTCTCTCCATGCAAGGCTGAGAGAGTCTCCTGTTTGAAACCGCAGAGTGTGTGTAAGCCAACATTCCCAAGCCAGGTGTTCTCAAAATATTTAGGACCTCGACTCCCATCATCCCTGACCCTTGGCCATGTTGGCTGGGGCTGATGGGAGCTGGAGTCCAGAACTTCTGGAGGGTACCAGGTTCAGGAAAGGTAGTGTAGGCAGCATTGAGCTAGATGGATCTAGCTCAGCATAAGCCTGTTTCCCATGAGTGGGAGACAGGAGGAAGTTCCAAACCCTGTCTTCATTAACTGCTCTTGTCCCACAATCTAGGGGAGGGACAGTACCTCTGGTAGAGGACCCATTGTGTTCCTTCTGGGCCTCGCTCAGCTCTCACCTGTGGCCCCTAGAAGCTTTCAGCATGCGACAGTGGCCACAACTGGCTGGCTAAACCAGGGGAAGGTGACTGATGGGTCCTGAGAAACTTCCCTCATCCGAAGCAACGGGAGAAAACCCCCACATTGGAAGAAACAAAAAGATTTTATTCTATTTATTTAAACAATTTAATTAAGCAGCTTATAGGCGCAGACTTTTTCTTTGGATAAATACAATGGTATTTGGAATGAGTTTACACATAATATATTTGGTTACACATAATATATTTGGACAATTATATCGGAATTAGGATAATAACAAAATACTGTACATTAATTAATGGTGATGTAACAGAATTTTCTTTTTCTTTTTCCATTCACACTTTCTCCCCCCCCCCCTCACTCTATCTTTTTATAAATGAAATTCTCTTAATAAAATAATCAATGAATTCTATAACACTTAGCTACAATCGTCTCTAAGTAAAAAGTGGCTATAAAATCAGTCTGCATCAGGGGTGTACTTATCGGTAAACCCATTCTAGAATGAGTAGAATAGTAGTTGCTGATGATGTACTAACCAAGCAGTAGGTGGCTAGGATAACTGCATCCTAAATACTAGAATAACTGCACCGATTTTGAGCTTTTGAGCAGGAAAGTGTCAAGACGGAATGCTGAACTTCCTTCATTTTTCTCTGCAACTTAAATACAACATTAAGCACTTACTACTGACTGCCCCTGCCATGCCGAACCAGTGTGTTTTTAATTCATTACTTTTCTTTCAATCTGTGCTTTACTTCCTCAATGCAACATCAACCTCGAAAAGTTCACACCCCAGAATTACCTCTTGCGGTACATGTGTCCTGCGAAAATGTCATGTTCAGCTGGATCAGATGTAATCTTGGATTACAAAGTCTCATGCATTAGGGAAAGAGGTGTTCTGTTGCCTTTTCACTGAGGCCTACTAAGAGGTAGGCACGCAGCCTTGCAAACAGCTATTTAGATGCTAAATGTCAAGGGAACAGTGTTTATTCTCTTAAAACAGCAGGTAATGAGGGAAGCAGGGAAATTCTAAACCTGACCTATACGAGATTGAAATATTATCCAGGGATTAAGGTTTTTAAAACAGCTACTTTTGAAAACTGGATAAACCATCCATATGCCGATAAGCTTTTAGCAGAACTGCCTTAATAACACACATGACCCTGCCAATTTTTGTAAAGCGAAATATGCATTTGGTTCTTCACTCCCTCCACTCCTGAAACCTGTATTCATGAAATGAGTTTTATTTTCGGCTTTCTGAGCTGCCGGCAACAGTCTGCAGAAAGCACCTCGTGGGTAGCTAGCTTGCTTGTTTCCAAACCTGTAGTACGTTCAGAATCAGGGTTTTTCAAAAAAAACAAACAACTGCAACCTTAATGCACGCAGACTGCCGGCATGGAAATTGCATTAGCCAATTGCAGGTGGCACCCAGCACCAGATGTGATGCTAAATGGCCAGCCAGTGTCATGTCACTCCCTTTGCCCAAGTCCCTTTCAAGTGGCACACGTGTCAGGCATAGATAAGACCAGAAATTATGTATTGAGGTTCATATGTTCTTAGCATTGCAGCAAGTTAGACAGTTTGTCCAGAAGTCTCTCTGTTTATATTTGGTTTTGCAATGGAACTATACATTGCAGTAAACACGGGACTGCCATCAAAAATGGCAGCTCGTCATCAAGTTTACCCCCTCTTTCCGTATACCTTTAAAATGCACATGTGTGCAGGCATCACCTAACTCTGCTAACTGTATCCTAAATATGGGCTGCCTAGTCTAGGAACAAGCAAGTCTGTCAAATCTGGAGAGCAGCATTGCAAAATTTGAAGATGTGTGAATTTCAAAGGATGACTATACTTCGGTTTGTGTATTGTTCCGGAAAGTGAGCATTAAGTAGGTTCTCCTTTAAATGTGGACAGAATCAAATTTACTTATTTGTTTTATGTTTTTCATAAAATTTATACCACCGCTTGGTTGTAAAGAAAACCTCAAAGTGTTTTATGGAAGGATAAAACAAGAAAAATTCACAACCCTGCTTTAAGACATGCAAAAGTTAAGATGCAAAAGTAGATTAAAATTACCTCTAAGCGCCTGGGTAGGCTTATTTCCTCAAGAATGTTTTTAGCAGGTGTCAAAAAGAATGCAGTGA